TCGGGCGGCTCAGGCGGCTCGGGCGGCGGCACGGGCGGCTGGGGCAGCTCGGTGGCGGCTCACGGGCGGCTGGGACGGCGCGCGGGGAGCTCACGGGCGGCTGGGCGGGCGGCCAGGGCGGCTCACGGGCGGCGGCGGCGGCGTCGGCGGCTCACGGGCGACGGCGGCTCAAGGGCGGCGGCGGCGGCGTCGGCGGCTCAAGGGCGGCGGCGGCGGCGTCGGCGGCTCACGGGCGACGGCAGCGGCAGCGGCGTCGGCGGCTCACGGGCGGCGTCGGCGGCTCACGGGTGGCGGCGGCGGCGCGGCTGCTCACGGGCGGCGTCGGCAGCTCACGGGCGGGCTGAAGGCCCACGGGTGGGCGGTTCGCGGGCAGCGCCGGCTCACGGGCGGGCGGCGTGACGGGCGGGCGGCGGGACGGGCGGCGGCGTCACGGGGGGGGGGGGGGGCGACGGGACGGGCGGCGGCGTCACGGGCGGCGGCGTCACGGGCGGCGGTTCACGGGCGGCTGCGTCACGGGCGGCGCTCACGGGCGGCGCTAAAGGGTGGCGACGGGCGGCGGCTCACGGGCGGCGCTACGGGCGGCGGCTCACGGGGGGCGCTACGGGCGGCCGCACGGGCGGCGCTAACGGGCGGCCGCACGGGCGGCGCTACGGGCTGCGCAAAGGGCGGCGCGAAGGGGCAGCCGCACGGGCGGCGCTAACGGGCGGCGCTAACGGGCGGCGCGAACGGGCGGCTCGAAAGGGCGGGCGCTAGGGCGGGCGCTAGGGCGGGCACTAGGGCGGGCGCCAGGGCAGAAAAAAAAAAAGTTCTAGGTGGTGGGCCCGAAGCACAGTTCCCACAGGGGAACCTGCTCTGATTCCATGTGAAGAAGTGAACGAGAGAAAATGTGTGAACTATGAACGAAGTGAGTACAAATAGGAAACCCTAGCTGGGTTGTACCCCCTATGGGATACCCCACTATAGCCTACACAAATAAGTAAGCTATAATGTTCTGACAATCATCGCCTCTATCAGCAGCAGTCGGGTGTCTACTGTTCGCCGCCGTCACATGCCGCCCAGACCCGTCCTACATCGCCAGCCAGCTCGCCCAGTACTTGCACCGACCTGAAGGGGAGAACATGGAAATGAAGACGGCGATGAACGGGTCCTTCGAGTTACTCTGCAACAACTAGAGTGCGATCAAGATCGCAGGCAAACCGGTCTTTGTCAACTGCACGAAACACATCGCCCTCCGTTACTTCTTCGTCAAGAACGAAATCGATCAAGGGAAGGTCCAGCTCACCTATTGCCCAACTGGCGAAATTGTAGCCGAATTTCTGACAAAGAAACTGCCACGTCAGAAGTTCCAGTGCTGCTCGGACCTGTGTGGAGTCGTTCGAAAGAGCCATGTGGCGCACCTCCAGGAATGAAGGGGGGTGTTGGAATTGTCAGAATATTATGCTCTAGCCTGTACTGGGGTGCTCCATAGCGAGTACAACCCTTCTAGGGTTTGCTATTTGTATCCCCATTCTTGCTAGTTCAACCCTCTTCTTTCTTCTAAACTCTCACATGCTATCAGAGCAGGTCGATCCTTTTGGATCGATCCTGTGGGTGGGCTCACTGCCTCGTTGCTTCCGCTGCAACTGCTACTGCTACTCTCTGTGCCGCACGCCCTGTGGCGTGCGGCAGTTTTTTCTTCCCGCCGAGCGCCCCGAGGCGCGCGGCGGTTTTCTGCCCGCCGTGCGCCCCGAGGCGCGCGGCGGTTCTCTGCCCGCTGTGTGCCCCGAGGCGCGCGGCGAGCTTCTGCCTCGTCACTCGGCGCGTCACCCTCGGAAGGCGTTGCGCCGAGCGACGGGGACCCGCGCGTCGGCCCCGTCGCCGCCCGCATCGGCCGCGTCGCCGCCCGCAGCGGGCCCGTTGCCGCCCGCAGCGGCCCCGTCGCCGCGTGCAGCGGCCCCGTCGCCACCCGCAGCGACCCCGTCCCCGCCCGCATCGGCCCCGTCGTCGCCGTCGGCGGCCCCGTCGCCGCCACTTGCGGCCCCGGCCATGCCTCGTCGTCAGCCGCGGCGCACCGGGGGCACGTGCACCGCCCCCCCCCCCCCCCCCCCCCCCCTCTTTTCCCGTCGCCTGTCGAGGCGACCTGAGGGGGCCGCGTGGCGACGTGGGGATGGGGGCGAGCGTCGCCCCTTCTGCCGCCTACTTTGGCGCCCAGGGAGGCCGCGCGTCGGCCCCCTCCTCTCCCCCCCCTCCCCCCTCGTAACCTCCCTACCCGCCATCCCGCCCTGCCCTGTGTTCGGGTTTGGGGGTGGCGAGTGGGGGATTGGCGGGTGTGTGGTCTCCCTTGCTCCTCCTCCTCCTCTGTCTCCTACTGCTGCAGCTGCCGCTGATGGGGGTGGGTGTGTGGGAGTCGACGGATTCGTGCTAGGGGGTGGGGTGTGAGTGACCCTAGGGGTGCAGTAGGGGGTGTGTGTCAGGGGGGGTGAGACTGTTTGGGAAGCTGAACGGAGGTTGCCGTCGTGTCGCCAGCAGCACCTGTAGTCCGGGGAGTTGCTCCGGACCCAGTCGTAGCCACCTGTGCCAGTCGCCCGTGGGTCCGTTGCTCGTCTGCCGCTACTTTAGCCGCGGGGCCAGTTACTCCAATAGTCCGGAGAGTTGCTCTGGTAACCACTGTGCCAGTGTGCCTCCTGTTGCCCGTGTGTCTGCAGCTTCAGCCGTCGCCTCCTATCTCCTCTCCTCTCACTCTCGCCTCCTCCTCCTCACTTGCCCTCTGCGATAGCCTCTAGCTTTGCTCATAATTGTTAACTTTAAACTATTGCTTCTTGAACTTGTGCTCAGAATGTGTGGTGACATTGTGATCCACCCTGAGCTTGTACTGCTTTGCTTGCTCTGCTGATTACACCCCACTTTGGCTATGGGGGTGTGTCAGAATATTATGCTCTAGCCTGTAGTGGGGTGCTCCATAGCGAGTACAACCCTTCTAGGGTTTGCTATTTGTATCCCCGTTCTTGCTAGTTCAACCCTCTTCTTTCTTCTAAACTCTCACAGGAATATGAAGGGAATCAAGTCTAGCATTCCCGTAGGTGCAACTATATCGCACCCGTCACTATCAAAGCAGCGCTAGCAGCAGTATCGGATCAGCCCATATCACGGGCAGGAAGGTCAACAGTCGCAAAAGTTGACTGTTGACCATTTGGACCGATTGACTCACCATCGAGGAATGACAACAGGCGTAACCGTCTGTACGGTTATATGCAGCGACTCGGTAACAAGAAGAGCAATAGTTGGAGTCATTGTAGGATTGCGTGTAAAACAGTTAGAATAAGGAACGTATCCCTCAGAGTACATGGCTATCTAAATCTATTTATTGTGTGTAATTTATGTTTTAATCAACTTTGTCATTTATATCCACTATGATCAGACTTCCTACCAAAAAGACTTCCACTAACTCTCTAAAGCATTCCTATCCTATCTAAGATCCTTACCCTAGCATAATGACCAGTGTGCTTTTTAAGGGGTGTTCAGCGCGTTCATTTTGGGAATTTTAGTGCCCACACACGTTTCGGGGTACAAAACTGATCACTGTACCTAAAAACGAATGCTCATTGAGCCAAGTCCACAGTTCCTCGAATGTTTAGCGCGCGGACACATACCCCCCACACACAAACTCCAATAGTGCCAACACAGCCTGAAAATCAAGGTAACCGGTTTCCTCGTGGAGAATAGGGTTGGCATTTTCGTCAGCGTGCAGCTGGTTCGGCGAGTGTCGAGCGGCGCTGGCGAAATCGTGCGAGCTATACAGAGGGAACTTTCTGTAGCTAGTTGGACGCGCGCGCACGCTGTATGTAGTTACGTGAGTCACACGACTCGAGTCAGTGTAGCTGGTGTGCCGTCTCGTGTACAAAAGTCGGTCGTGTCCACAATTTCTGTAAAATGCAGTGTTACAACTCGAAATGTGGTAACTGAAGGGGTTTATGAACGGTAAATGTACGTGCTGGACACGCCCTTAGGTGTACATTTTGTATATTTGATCCATTTCAAAATGTGTTCAAACATTATTATTCTACCTTATTCGAGTCGGGACACCACAACGGCTGTTGGGGTGAAGCAGGTGGACGCGTCGCGGTTGTGAAATTGTCACTCTCGTACAGCTGTCGCATCAGCTGGCCAATAACAACAACACAGCATAGCGTGCATTTTCTGACAAGCCTTCACGCCGCCTGACAGGGTGATCGGGCAAACAAATATGACACCCTGATAAGCCAGGGCATAGGACAAGCCTACGTTGGATTTTCATCGGAGGATGGATGCGTCGGTGGAATGCCAGTTGATCTAGGTAGGGGTTTGTAATTCGGAATTGCGAGGAACAAGTTTTGCTAGGAGGGACATTTTTACAAAATACCAAAGGTACATTTCGGAAGAGAAGCCAGCCTGAGGACTGGGCGATTAAGAAAAGACCTAAGGGTGGTCCCCGAGGGAAAAAAGAAAGAAGCACATTTCTTCACCAATCACCTAGCATATCAATGAGGCCTTACGACGGAGCCTTTTGTTCCTTCAGCGAAAAACAGCTCGTGTGCGCGATCGACGCGCGCTTCGATAAGCCGGCACCCCACGATGCCTCTTCTGGGTTAGCCAAACAACCCACAACACCGCATTCCATCAGAGTCACGAATTACGATCGACAGCCGGGAGTTTCCCCTAAAACCTTTACCTTTCCATCAGAGTCACGAATCGGAGGGCTGCGTTAAGAGTCCTTCCGAGCTACAATCTCTTGTGCAGAGACTTCGATCTTCGCTACTATCCTCGAGCAGCTGTCGTCACGACGACGTCACGCCGACCCGGCCCACAAGACCCAACGTGGTGTGGAGGTGTCCGCCCATCCCAAAAAAGTTCTATAGCCGCAGAAGTCGAACAAATTAACCCGGGGAAGGATACCCCAGGGTTTTCGTCTAGGATACCTGCTGGTATCCTGGGGGTATCCCTCACTTTTGGAGTTATTTTTGCGTTCTAGTTTTAGGGATGCCATGGCCGTCCATCATGCGATGGCGCTACTCGTAGCGGCCATGGCGGTTCTTCTCCTTTTCCCTGCCGCAACACTGCCAGCGGCAGCGGACGGGTCCGTGATGCTCCGCGCTTCCCGCCGCCTCACCCAGAGTCCCGGTCTGCTCACCGTTCCGCAATCGCGGTTTCGTGGCGGATCGACCACCGCTGGTGCGCAGCAGGAACGGTCGCTGGTCGAGCAGGCTGGCGGCGCAGGCGAAGCACCCGCCAAGGGCGGAGGCAGCGCAGCCACACACCACGGGCCCACCAGCGGCGCAGGCGGCGTCGCTTACAGACCCACTGACGCCGGCGGCGTTGGCGGCGCAGACGCCGGCCAAGCACCCTCCGACGCCGGCACAGATGGCGCAGGCGGCAGCGCAGGCGGTGGAGGCGCCACCAAGGACCCCCCGACGCTGGCGCAGGCGTCGCCCACGGACCCTCTGACGCCAGCGGCGACGGCGACGGCGCAGGTGCCAGCGAAGGACCCGCCAACGCTGACGGTGCAGGCGAGACAAAGCAAGGACCCACCGGCGCAAGCGCATGTCACACGGGCGGTCCAGGCGCCGCCAAACAAGGCCCCACCGATTCCGACCAACCTATTGCCCCACGTGGCGCGGCATCACGGCGGACATCGCGCGGAGGCCACGTCGGGAGTGCGCATGCGGGACTTGGTGGTGTGGCGGGCCGCTAAGTTCCAGCTCAAGCTGCGAGAGGCCCGGGTGCACGCGGCGGCCGGCAAGGCCGCGGCTGCCGTGGCGCGTTCGCGCGCTTCGGCGCTGAAGGATGCGACAAACGTGAAGGCTCCGAGTTGGAGCGGCCTGGCGCGCAGCTGCGTGGAGCAGGTGAGACGACCAATGCAGTCGGACTGGGCTGAATCGATTCTCCCACATTCTGCTCGTAGATGGCAAGCTGGAAGTTTCAGGCTGAACAAGGCTACGACGCTCTACCGCGCTCGGCGCGGCTTGTCGGGCACGCCTTGGCGACGGTTAACACCGTAGCGAGGAAAGAAGTATAGAGTAGTCGCGGCGGAAGTGCTCGATGAGAGAAATTGAGAAACGTTGATGAGAGAGGGATAGGAGATCAATATTTTCAGACGATGAAAGGATTCTCTGCGATTCAATGAGAAGATAATAGACTAAAGGATAGCACAATTGAGAACTAGGGCGAAAAAAAACCGCATTGCCACGTTCTAGCATGGCATCGTTGGATTCGGGTAGCTTCTATTCACTGACGAAGATAAGAAAATACGTCCGAGTTTAACACCTATCTCTATTCGGAGTTATCTAGGCAGCGGGAGTTCTAATCGTTCGGGTATTCTCATCCACGCAGGGATGGCGAATCCCATCTTGTATAACACAAGCATTCCCTGCGCTTGACGATAGTGCGGCATTGTAGTACTGTCATGCTGATGCCCTCGTGAACTGATGTGATCCGCGTGATCTGATATGGGCCCCTGATCGACGCGTGTGTGGGTGGCGTGATGCGCGGCAGATGGCATTGGCGTCGGAGAGCATGGAGTCGGCAGCGGGGATGATGGCGAGCGGTGGCGAGGACGTGAATCTGCCGCGCATCCACCTCTCCAGCGCCATCACGCTCGCGCTCGACTGCGCCGAGGGCTTCGACCTCTTCGCGCCGGGCAGCTCGCGCGACCCGCGCGTCAAGACCCTGCAGGTGCGCGCCTCCAAAAGTCCCCGCCCCCTGCTGCTGCTGCTCGGTGCGCATGGCATGTTGACCGCCGTGGTGTGACGCAGCCATGGCATGGCATGGGTATGGGATGGCATGGGCATGGGCAATGGGTGGCATGGCATGGCACGGAATGGCATGCCCGGAATGGCATGGCACGGAATGGCATGGCACGGAATGGCATGGCACGGAATGACATGACACGGAATGGCATGCCACGGAATGGCATGGCACGGAATGGCATGGCACGGAATGGCATGGCACGGAATGGCATGGCACGGAATGGCATGGCATTGGCATGGATCGGCATGTCATGGGCATGGAATGGAATGGCATTGAATGGCGCTGATTGCTCCCTGCTCGTTTCTCGCCACTCGCCACCATTCGTTGGCCAGATTGCCGCGCCCTGGAAAGTATCTTATTGAGCGACTTGCCTTCTGCAGTGTCCATATGGTGCTGGCATGGTGTTGCACGCGGCTTTGGTGGCGGCATGTGTGTTGGTGCGTGCAGAAAGCAGCCATGGACGTGCGGACGCAGGTGATGGAGGCGCTGGGGCGAGCAGCGGACATGGCGGCCATGATCGCAGCACGCGACGACACTGCTGCTGCAGCCACCGTGCCTTCGCCCTCGCCCACTCGCCGCCGCCTCCTGCAAGCCGTTGGTGCGACCAGCGGTGGTGAGGACCCCACCGTCACGGGTGCAGGCACGGCCACTGCCATCACGGTGACCAACCCCCACAACTCCATCCCCAACCTCAACATTGGCACTCCCGGCACTGGGAAAGGCGCCGAACACATAAACAACTCCACTGAGCCCACTCGCCGCCGCCTGCCGCAAGGCGTCACTGCGGGGAGGCAGGGGCAATGCCATCGCAATGGCGAGGGCCGACCCCCACAACGCCAACCCCGGAACGTGCCCTTCTGGCAATTCTGGAATCACCCCTGGCACCGGCACCCCCGCCAAGCCGTCACTGCTGGCACTGGCAAGGCCACCACCACCGATCCGCACTGCAGGGCACCGCCGCCTCCTTCCCCTCCTTCACCCCCTCCCCCCTCGCGTCCGCCTCCTTCCCCTCCTCCCCCTTTCCCTCCCCCTCCTTCCCCTCCCCCTCCTTCCCCTCCTCCCCCTTCCCCTCCCCCTCCCTCCCCTCCTCCCTCCCCTCCTTCTCCACCTCCCTCCCCTCCTCCGCCCCCATCTCCGCCAATCCCCCCACCGCCCCCTCCGCGCATCACCCCCACGGTCACCGTGGCACAGGATGGTTCCGGGAACTTCCTCACCGTGCAGGTGCGTGCGAGAGAGAATGTGCGAGTGTGTGCACATGCTTACAGCAGAGGAAAATTCTCCCCTTCACATCACTCGCGAGCCAGCTGCGCCCTCACATTTCTCTCTCTGTGTGCACTCCCCTGGGGCGAGCAGGAGGCGATCAGGGCATACCCGGTGGGGTTCACGGGGCGCTACGTGGTGTTCATCCAGCCGGGCTTGTACCACGAGAAGGTGGCCATCAACTCCACGTGCAAGAACGTCACGCTGCTGGGGCTGGCTGCTGCATCCACCGTCATCTCCTGGAACGACAGCGCTGCTGCCGGCACCGGCACCTTCCAGTCCGCCACTGTTGGTAAGCAACGACCTGTGCTCCCTCGCTCCTCTCATCCCTGCCGCCGCCACCTGTTATGCTCTGTTTGCCACCTGCACTTGAGTACTGAAGAGAGGGATAGGTACTAAGTTTCCCTCCCAGCCCTGTCCCATGGGTGTAAAAGGACATCGAGTGCCTCTTCCTCCTCAATATTTTCCCTCAAGGGGCTGGGAGGGAAGAGGCTGGGATGGAAATGTGTATGCAACTATCTCCCTCTCTTCCTTTCGCTCCCCCTCTCCCTCCTCCCTTCCCCCCTCAGCTGTGGATGGGACTGGCTTTGTGGCCATCGGCATTCGCTTTGAGAACACGGCAGGGAGGGCTGGGAAGCAGGCAGTGGCGTTCAGGCAGACGGGTGACAACGCGGCCTTCTACGAGTGCGAGTTCATTGGGTGGCAGGACACCCTGTATGCGCACGTTGGGCGGCAGTACTACCGCAACTGCTACTTCAACGGGTCGGTGGACTTCATCTTTGGCAACAGTGCCACCGTGCTGGACAGCTGCGTGATCCACCTCCGCGCATACTCGGGTGGGGTGGCCACGGCGTCGGGGCGAACCAGCTCCGTGGAGAATACGGGCATTGTTATTCTCAACTCTGTCATTCAGGGCGATCTTGTCAACAAGACATTCCTCAGCCGTCCCTGGAAGCCCTACGCGAGAGTGGCTGTCATCAACACCACAATCAGTAATGTGGTACGTCCTCCTCTCCTGCCATGCTGTCCCCTTTCTGCAATACTGCTCTCTATGCATGGCCTCACAATCATCCCCACACTGCACTTGCCTTCTTCTCGCCCTCCCATCAGCTGAATACGACTGGCTGGCTGGACTGGCTGGGCACAATCTACACCACTACCACGTTCATCGAGCAAGGCAACAGTGGGCCGGGGTCTGTGGGGCCGCGCATAGCATGGGCTCTGCCGGGCATCGTAGATGACCCTGCGCAGGTCGCCATGTACTACCCCAACAGCTTCCTCACCCCCTTCTCCTCCATTGCCAACCTCATTCCCTTTTCCTGGCTCTGACCCTCTCCCCACCCATGCCATTACTTCTCCCGTGTTTATGGCTCTTACATTCAGCCTCCGATGCATCAGCAACCTCAGGCACCTCTTCTACAGTAGTAAAGTCACATAAGATTAACAATTTTACGTTAAAAAAGTTGGCCATAACATATCGTATCTCCGCGAGGATATTTTAAAAGGAGGGGCTGTTGTAAATGGGATGGTTCATTTGACTACTTCCCTCGATGGTTTTTTTATCCTGGAAAGTTATGTTAGAACATTATAGCTTATGCTTTTGTGTAGGCTATAGTGGGGTATCCCATAGAGGATACAACCCAATTAGGGTTAGTACTTGTACCCACTTCATTCATAGTTCATTCATTCTCGTTTCTTCTCATGGTTTCAGAGCAGGTTCCCTAGTGGGAACACTTCCTAGGGCCCACCACACTTTTTTTTTCTTGCCCGGAGCGCGCCTCGGACTAGACCGAGTCGCACGCGCCCCGTGTGCCTGTCGACCCCACGAGCTGCCCTAGCGGCCCTTCCTTGCGCCACCCGTCGACCCCGCGCGCCGCCTTAGCGGCTCCTTGCGCCGAGCCGTCGACCCCGCGCACCGCCCTAGCGGCCCTCCCTGTGCCGCCCGTCGACCCCGCGCGCCGCCCTAGCGGCCTCCCTGCGCCGCCCGTCGACCTCGCGCGTCGCCCTAGCGACCCCCCCTTAGCCGCCCGTCGACCCCGCGCGCCGCCCTAGTGGCGCCGTACGCCACCCGTCGACCCCGCGCGCCGCCCTAACGGCCCTCTGCGCCGCTCGTCGACCCCGCGCGCCGCCCTAGCGGCCCCCTGCGCCGCCCGTCGACCCCGCGCGCCGCCCTAGTGGCGTCTTACGCCACCCGTCGACCCCGCGCGCCGCCTCTGCGGTTCCCGTCGCCCTTACCTGCGGCCCCACCGCCGATAGGGCAGACGTTCTCTCACTCTTTGACCTCACCTCTGGCGCCTCTCCTGCCCCTGCTGCTGATGCCGACGCCACTGTTCTCTCCCAGTGGGCCACGCGCGACGCTGCTGCACGTCTTGCTGTGCGTCGCCACCTCCCTACCTCCGAGCGCGCGCATTTTAGCCAGTACAAGAGTGCTCAGACCTTGTACGACGCTGTAGTTGCACGCTACTCCTCCCCTGCCACTGCTGCACTGAGCCGTCTCATGCTACCGTACCTCTTCCCTGACCTTGCTGCCTTTCCCACAGTCGCTGACCTCATTACGCACCTCCGCACTAGTGACACTCGCTACCGCGCTGCGCTTCCTGCTGACTTCTGCGCCAAGAACCCCCCCCCCATGTACATCACTCTCTACTACATAGTCACTCGCCTCCCTGACTCCCTTCGCGTAGTCAGGGACCACTTCCTCTCAGTCTGTCCCACCACTCTCACTGTTGACCTCCTCGAGAAGTCCCTCCTAGCGGCCGAGAAGAGCATAGACGCTGTAGCGGCCTCTCGTGGTGACCCGCGCACCCCCATCTTTGAGGGGTGTTCCCCCTCCCCCCTTCTACCCTCTGTTGCTTCTGCTGCTGCGGCCGACCTCGTTGGGCTTGAGTCGGTCGGTGTGGCGTCTGCCCCTAGCGGGAGACGCCGCTCTGGCAAGGGCAAGGGGAGTAGGGGCACTGGAGGCGCGAGCGGGGGCGGTGGAGGTGGAGGTGGAGGCGGCGGGGGGAGTGGGGGTGGCGGTGGGAGTGGAGGTGGGAGTGGAGGTGTCGGTGGCGGCAGTGGAGGCAGAGGTGGCAGCAGCGGTGGCAGTGGGAGCGGAGGTGGTGGAGGTGGCGGCAGTGGAGGAGGCGGCGGAGGCGGCGGTAGCAGCGGAGGCAGCGGTAGCAGCGGAGGCCGCGGGGGCACCGGAGGCGGCGGGGGCGGCGGAGGCGGTGGGGGTGGCGGTGGAGCTGGTCGCGGGTCTTCGCAGAGGAGTGGCTCCGGTGGTGGTCCGCGCCAGCAGCAACAGCGCGGTCGTGAGACCCTGTCCCCTCAGCAGCTCCGTGAGTGGTACACTGCACGCCAGCGGGGTGGGGGTTTTGGTCCGTGCACCTACGTCCTGCGCACCGGCGACCGTGCGGGTGAGCAGTGTGGGGGTGCGCACCCCACCCAGCGCTGCTTTGGCCGCCTGACAGACACGTGGCGTCACCAGTTCCCTGAGGCCATAGAGATCCCTCGCTGGGGCAAGCTGTCTAGGGCGGGAGTTGCAATCTATGATCTTGATTTTGATGCCATTCTTTCTGCCATGTATGCTGTGACTATTAGTGATGAGGGTGACTGTTACCGGTGTTTCTCGCCCGATCCGGGCATTGCGACTGCTGCTCTAGGTACTGGTGCGGCTGCTGCCCTAGGTGCTTGCGACGCTGCTGCTCTAGGTGCTAGTGCGTCTGCGTCCTCAGGTACTGATGAGTCTGCGCTCTCAGGTACTGCGTCGGCTTCGGCCTCCCTCACCTTCACCCTTGACTCGGGGGCTTCTCGCTCCTTCTTTCGGGACCGCACCACACTCATGCCGCTTAGTCGGCCGGTTGCGGTGTTTCTGGCTGACCCCTCTGGGGGTCCTGTCCTGTCTCACTTCTCCACAGTCCTCCCGTGTCCGACGGCTCCCTCTGGCACCCTGTCTGGTCTCTACCTCCCCTCGTTCTGTACGAACCTGGTGAGTGGTGCTGACCTACAGGATGGGGGAGTACACCAGTTCACTCCTGCGCGTTAGCGAGTGACGCACTTCACAGACGCCCGCACAAGCCGACACTTGGCTACGTTTACACGTCAGCTAGGGTCGAGCCTGTATACACTAACCACTACGTCTCCCCCAGTTGCTGAGTCTGGTAGGGTAGCTGCGTCGGGTCAGGTGTTTACTACAGCGTCCAGGTCTGGTCCTGAGTCTGCCCCCTGTTCGTGTCGTCTCCTCTCTCACGAGACTCTCCTCTGGCACCACCGCCTTGGTCACCCCTCTCTGCTTCGGCTCAGAGGCATGGCCTCTCGTCTTCTTGTTTCTGGTCTCCCCCGGTCCCTCCCTCCCCTTCCTCAGGAGCCTGGCCCTTCCTGTGTCCCCTCTGTCGAGGGGCGCCAGAGGGCTGCCCCTCACTCCTCTCAGTTTCCTCCGACAGAGGCCCCGCTGCAGACGCTTCACATGGACGTGTGGGATCCAGCCCGCGTCCATGGACAGGGTCACGAGCGCTACTTCCTGCTTATTGTTGACGACTACTCGCGTTACACCGCAGTCTTCCTCTTGCGCAGCAAGGGTGATCTCACTGAGGTGCTGATCGACTGGATCCGCCCAGCTCGTCTCCAGCTCAGGCAGAGCTTTGGCTCGGACTTTCCTGTTCTGCGTCTGCACTCGGATAGAGGCGGAGAGTTTTCCTCTGGCCTTCTGAGAGCCTACTGTCGCGCACGAGGCATCCGTAAGAATTTCACGCTTCCGGACTCTCCGCAGCAAAATGGGATTGCTGAGCGCCGCACTGGCATCGTCATGGACGTCGCTCGTACGTCCATGATGCATGCGGCTTCCTCCCATTTTCTGTGGCCGTTTGCGGTTCGGTACGCGGCGCATCAGATTAACCTCCACCCCAGGGTCTCCAGGCCGGAGACCTCCCCAGCCTTGCTGTGGACCGGGAAGGTTGGCGATGCGTCGGCGTTCCGGGTCTGGGGATCTCGGGCGTTTGTCCGCGACTTGTCTGCGGACAAGCTGTCCCCTCGTGCTGCTCCTTGCGTCTTCCTGGGGTTCCCCCCTGACGCGCCGGGGTTGCAGTTCTACCACCCCACCTCCCGCCGTGTTCTGTCCTCCCAGGACGTCACGATTGACGAGTCGGTCCCCTACTACCGCCTCTTCCCCTACCGCACTCCGTCCCTCCCCGCTCCCCCGCTCTTCCTTGTACCAGGTCCCCCCCCCGGTAGACCCCCTCCCCCCTCAGGGTCCTGCCCCTTCAGGTGTGTCCCAGGTAGACGCCGTCGAGCCTGTCGAGGTCACTGGTGACTCTGGTGCTGCTGAGGGTGCTGAGCCTGGGGGTGGTGAGACTGCGGGTGCTGAGCCTGGGGGTGTTACGCCTGGAGGTGCTGTGCCTGGGGGTGCTAAGCCTGGGGGTGCTGAGCTTGGAGGTGCTACGCCGGCAGGTCCTCCGGGAGCTTCGTCTCGTCGGGAGCCACTCTCTCCACCCGAGCTGCGTGAGTGGTTTGCCCGGCGCTGGAGACGTGCTGCTGGAGCTGGAGGTTCTTTGGCTGCTGAGGGTGCTAGTGCCGCTGGTCCCGGAGGTGCTCGTACTGGGAGTACTGGAGCTGCTGGGCCTGCACGTTCGACTGGAGCTGGTGCTGTTGAGGGCGTTGGTGCTGAGCCTACTGTTCGCGGTCCTTCTGGGGGTGCTACTGGTGCTGCTGGAGGTACTGTTGGAGCGGGTGCTCCTGCTGGGGGTCCTGGTGCTGTCCCTGCTGTGTCTGGCATCGCCGCGCGACCTCGACCGTACTTCGTTCCACTCCTGCAGCAGGTTCTTGGTCTTCCACCTTCTACAGGTCCTCCTCCTTCTTTAGAGTGTCCACAGCCTGTCACATCACAGCTACAGTTACAGCCTTCCTCCCAACTACCTGCTCCCTCTCCCTACACTGGTCCTACTGGAGGTCTTTTTGAGCGTCGTGAGCCTGCGTCTCGTCCTGCGTCACCTGTTCGTGCTGCTCGCGCTAGTGGTCGCGGTTCGCGTCAGCGTCCTCCTCCTGTCCCTAGCACACACCAGATGTCTCTGCGTCCGTCCACTACTCCTCTGCGTGCCCCTTTGCCTTCTCCTTCTGCGTCCTCTCTTCCTACTCTTGCCGACCCGGAGTCGGACTCTCTTCGTGCTGCCAGTCCCACTATCACGCGTCTCCTTGCTACTGTCGTCACCGACCCTTCTTTCGAGTCCACCGCTGCGTCTGCCCTAGTTCCTGAGCTCGTCGACTTTGCTGCTCGCTGTCGCCTAGACCACGCTTCTAGTCTAGTCGCTGAGTCTGAGTCTGTCTGTCCTCCGTCCGTCGGGGGTGAGTGTGCC